TTTGCTTTGACTAATCCCTGTACGACTGAGGGCTTACACAAACTTATCTTTGCCTCACATGCATGTGAAAACTTAAAGAGATCAAAGTGTTTCAAAGTCGTGATTGTAATTAATGATATTTATGTTGTCACGTATACCTTAAGTATGTGAAAGATGCTTTGGGGGAGATCAGATATCTTCTAGGCACATAGTATGATGCCAACGGAGTGTAGTGGTTCAGCCGCCAGACTTCGTAGCACCTCACATGGTAAAGAAAAAGGCTCTGAAAAGTTTTTGAAAATTGTGACCACTATGAAAGTATAAAACACAGTATGACCTTTGTCTGTGCACTTATAAATACACAGCATGATTGGCATGGAACAAATTTACAAGAGGAAATATATCTAAAATTAGCCCTTTTAGTGTTTTGCATTAATAGAAAGTTTCCTTTTGGTCTTTATTGTAAATAATACACAAAAAAACTGTCCATCTAGCAGTAAAGGCATGCTAAATATGAATTATACAAGAAATATAATAGAATTAACTTCAGAGTGTAAAATGTGGATTTCTTGCAACAACCATCAAGCATACTACTGGAGCTATTCTGAATGGCTAAACAAACAGAACACACGCGTGCAAACAGAACAGGTGCCATGTATAAAACACATTTTGTTCGTACCTGATTCAAGTCGTCCAGGAGCCTCGACCAGTGGACAGCGTGAACCCGCTGTACTCCTGCATTAGAAAAGAGGCATTAAAATGAGTCCATCACGTGAAAAAAAGAGCAGCACTTTGCGTTGCCAAATGCTCATAGATGGGTATCAAACTGCTGGTTAACATTACCGTGAGACATGCTATGCTGCATAATGAGTTGCTACCAGTCAAATGTAAAGTTGTACATCTTTTTTTTTTGTGGTATGTGCAAATAAATCAATACCTGCGCAGGCTCCACTGGAGAAACCGGTCTCTCCAGCGCAGCCTCCGCGAGCGCGCACGCACACTAGTACATGCCGCAAGTGAAGCTCAAGAGCCGGGTCCCGCTGGTCCCGAGCGACTGCGGTAGTCCAGCGGCACCCAGGGACCGTGCGTGTATCAGCGGCCACTGTGTGCATCTCATTCACCGAGACAAACAGACTTTACCCGAACGTATAACAGATTAGATCTGTACAGCGTGAAATATATGTGAAGCCATGGCACTATTGTACTGGTTAGGACTCAGTAATGCAGTTAACACAGCTCGTAATAAGCAGCGTCACTCCCGGTATGTGATGATTTCTCTTACCAAACTAACTGCACAGGCGAGTGGCGCCGCGAGCAGGCAAAGGTGACAGTATCTTTGAACGTACAGTAGGTCCCATTTCGTTTTGTCGCCTTTCACGCGTGAATCACACGAGACTCACGTGTGATTCACGCGTCTTTTATTTATTTTTTCCCCAGTGATGCTGCAATGACCCAAACAACCACCAGGTGGCACTTGTGAGCAGGGTTAGGAAAATTGGCTTCTCATCGGTCTTTGTTCTCTGTTCACCAGACAACTTTCTGTGACGTTATAGCTCAATGATAAAGAGGTGGACTCTGGTGCGAGAGGACCCGGGTTCAAGTACAGGCTATGACACTTTTGATTTTGTTGACGTTTACATGTTTTCTAAAACATACTTAGTAATTAGGCCAACACATTTAAAATAGTTGCTAGACTGTAGTAAACTTCACAATCTGCACCAACCAAACTGCAGGAAAAAAATGCAACTTTATTCAGTAACGGAGTAATCTGATACATATACTCCCCCCACTAATAAAAAATTGAGCATTTGCCCCGGGCTCGAACCCCGACCGTCCAAGCGAAAGTCTTGGACAATCCCGCTACACCACACAGGCGCTGGAGAAAACCCAGGATCTAATACGAAAGAGCGCTGAGTAAAAGAGCCGTGCGGATGTGCGGGACGCTTAAAATGCCTTATATGCAAGTTAATGCAAATGTTTGCCATATGATCTGCTACTCCTGTGCATTTTAGAATTCCTAATTAATGGCAGCTATATGTAACATGTGTAGTTTAATTTTTTGTAATTATACACAGCCTTTATATTGCTAATCAAAGTAAAAGTATTCAGAATACAGTGTACACTCGTGTACATAACATCATAACTCAATACTTCAAAAACTCATAAACTTGGTATTTCACTCGGTACTTCAAAAACTCAGAAAACTCATAAAACATGTTCAGATCTTTCATAAAACTTGTGAACAATCTTCAGTAAAATACCAAACTTCATCAGTCGATGGTGGTTACAGATATTGCTTTGAAAACAGTCTCTCCCACTTCTTTGTTTTGATTCTTCAGGCTTCTGCATTTGTGTCAAGCCATGATTCTTCTGTGACGTGTCGTTCAATCACACGTTTCAGCTTCAGTGTCCAGATTCAGAAATCCAAATCAGTCCAAATCATGTCCAAATTGTGTAATCCAATTGTTCCAAATGGTGTCCATGCAAAAGAGGACGCTGGTATTGTCCATGTCTCAGCAGCTCACAGCCTGACTGGAATCAGGGGCTGTGCAGATTGTCCAAGTGCTGATCCAGATACATTCTCTTGAGGTTTCTCAGTTTTGGCTTAAAAATAACAACACATTTTTGTGTAAAAAAAATAAGTCTTCTGTTCACTAGATGTTACAGACAAGGCCCGCATCCTCCACCACCTGAAGAAGATGACATGTCTGGGATCGTGTCTTTAATTCCGACAGAAGACATGTTTTATTGTCGATGGTAGAGACAGCACGAACAACACAAACAACAGAATGCAAGTGTATTATACAGAGCGGAGGCATGGAGACCTCCAATCAGCAGCTGCCACGGTGCCATGTAGCCTGGCCTTCAGATAGACAAAACAAGGGAAAAGTACTGGCTTCTGCACATTGATAGAATGATGAGTTTAACTTGAACAAAAGTTGCTTCAAAGTGTTCTGAAATCTCACATATCCATGGAAATTGAATTTGGTATATCTACACATGTTTTGTGTAGGTAATGGATATGTATGTGATTGGCTGAAAAATCACACTTTTGGTCTGTACTGTACATACATATATCCTTTGATGAGCACTTACACTTTCAACATGTCTTTTGTCCTATTAGATTTATTTAATTGATTTTGACATGACAAGCTATAATCAATCATGATGAAATATTTCTCTGTGTGTGTGTGTGTGTGTGTGTGTGTGTGTGTGTGTGTGTGTGTGTGTGTGTGTGTGTGTGTGTGTGTGTGTGTGTGTGTGTGTGTGTGTGTGTGTGTGTGTGTGTGTTCTTGTAATCATCACGTTGTGGGGACTGAAATCTGTTAACACAGTCACGCCATGGGGACCCATTTCCTTAGGAGGACCAAAAACCAGGTCCCCATAAGGAAAACCATTTAGATGAATGGGGGAGCTGTTTAGAAGGTGCTGGGCAAAGTTTTAGAGAAGGCTCGTAAGTGATGTTTAATGTGTGTGTTGTGGTTGCTCATTGGCACCTCTGGTGGTAATGACTGGTAAGACACATTGGTTTCCACACACACTTTGCATATATAATTAAGTACCGCCCACATCCTGGTCCCCAAGAGTGATGATCTTGGAATCAACTGTTTTCAGCTGCTTTCAAATGCAACAGACAGGTAAGCATAATTTGCAATCATTTTAGAACAAATATTGTATATATGCATGTTATTTAATAGCAACCAAGTTATTGCTAATTCACTTTTGTGGCCTGAATTGCTGTGGTTTTAATGTACAGACTAATGCAACTGGTTCGAGCTAGCATTGGCAACTTGTTGGAGCTAGCATTAGCAACTAGCTTGGACAGCAGATTCTACCAAACAGCACATGGGTCAATGTTCCCTTCTAAAAGGACATTCAGATGGCGAACAGTTGTCTTCGCAGTAAACGAGTGGTGACTAAATTACATAAGTAGAGCTTCTTATGTACTAGAAGTAGCTAGCTAGGAAGTTAGCACCGATTTTTGCTAACAAGCTAGTGTCAGAGTAAACAGGCTAAAGAATCTGAGTACTCTTTGCTGGTAGCTATACTAAAGACTGTATCTGTTCAATGCTCATGCAAAACGAATAAACTGTGTAATAAGTACAGATTCAGTGATTTACTTTGCATGGTTTCCCTTTTTAAGCAAGATTAGATGTGATTTTAATATACAACCTGTTAGCATTAGCAACTAGCTCGTATAGTAATCAACTTGTGTGTGGTACTTTCAAGAAGCAACTAAAGGTTTCTCAGTACATATACAGGTTCTGAATGATACAACTAAAGCTTTCTATGTAATAGCAGTAACCTATAGTGGCTTTACTTATTAAGAAGTAGTTTGCAGTTTAGTTTTATTTTAAGAATTAAGTGGGTCAAATAGCAGAAATATTTAATTTCTTCAAGTAGAAAGGAAAAAGAAAAGTTACTGAAGTACTGGATGAATATATTAATTGAGTACCTGACTAAATGTTGAAAGTAAAGGTTTGATTTGTAATTATGTATTAAAATATATTAGATATAGAAGATATTTGGAAGTAATATAGTAGAAACAGCTGTACCAAACCTACAGATAAAATAAATTACAAATGTAATAGAATTGTTTCAAAAAATGACTCAAGTGAAATCATAATTATGCATTCTGTTGTTTCAGTTTTTGATGATTTAAATGGCACCACGAATTAGCCCAGAAAAACCTCTGTCTGTGGGGTTTGAAAATTTAGCTGAAAAAGCTGTCTCTGTATTATATAATTTGAATTGATAAATATAGGTAAGCTTTGAGTATGTAAGCTTGGTGATTGTAGCACTATACTGTATAATGTATGTACTATATGTGTTTAAAAGTTTTTATATATCAATATATATATTTCTTTTTTTTCAGCATTGATGCTTCAGTACAAGATGGCACATTTGGGCGTATTGTTAATGATGACCACATCCACCCAAATTGTAAGATGAAAAGAAGCATTACGAGACAAAAAAGAAGGAGAAGAAATTACTTATGATTATGGTGGAGATGACTGCCCATGGAGAGAAAGAGTATGTCACAAACACACGCTTAAAATAATTGCTTATTTCTAACCTAATACAAAGAATGCCCTTTCAGTTACTGCTATTGACTTGAACTATGTTTGAAAGTTTGTTTCATTGGTCCCCATAAAGAATGAATGGAAGTGTGTGAAATGGCCTCCTATGGTGGTGATTTTACATTGTATGATTGTTTTAGTTATGACTTGGAGCTTGGAGTTTTCTGCTATAGACAAGGCTTTAGGTAGACTTCAGGAAGTCTAGTTTAGACCTTTATAAACCCTGATTCTCCACTGTGAGATCAATTAAGTTTCTCTTATCTTGTTTCATGGTGATCCAGACCTGGTGGTACATTTCAGTATTTTATAACATGGGGCTTGGTTGGAAAAATTGGAGCACTGTTTTAGACTTATAGATTATTATAGTGTTCTATTGTAAAGTCTTATACCTTCTGTCTCCCACAGATGACCCACGTGTCAGCAGATGGCTTTACAACAGGCTTTCTTGATCATTCTGACCATTCTTTGTCAGTTCTGAGCAAGCTTTTTAACATTTGAAGTCAATTATATAAGATTTGTTATGTTTAACTCATTTAACTATATTCAGTAAGTAGATAAGTGGAAGTAGAATATTTTTAGCCTTTTTCAAATGAACCATCACAATGTCCCCATAATAAATTGAGTGACTTCTGTTGAGTTTAATCATGTGTGAAAGTCTGTTGAAATGGTCCCCGTAAAGAAGGAATAGAAGTGTTTGAAATGGTCCTAAAAAGGTCCCCATAACGCACTAGGAGTGACTGATGATGAGTGGAATTGTTTGTGAAAGTTCATTGAATTGGTCCCCATGAAGGAATTGAGAGGGGTGTGAAAAGGTCCTCATGAGACGTGTTCCAGACTCTAGATGTGTGTGTGTACAAACAAGTTGGGTTTACATCTGTCAAACTATGATTTGTGTACTGCTGGTAATACTTGGGCCCCCTTGGGTGGTTCTTTAAATTTAAATTTGTGATCTCTGTTCTAGACCATGATTATTTTAGTGTTTTATTATAAATCCTTATACCTTCTGTCTCCCACGGATGACCCATGTGACAGCAGATGGCTCAACTACAGGTTTTCTTGATCATTCTGACCAGCCTCAGTGCCACATGAATATGTCATTTGGAAACGATGCCTATCAGATTAAGGTAAGATCATATTTATCAATCATGACAAAATACCAGAGGTTCTTTGTCAGTTCTGAAATGTTTTTATAACATCTGAAGTCAATTATCTTAGATTTGTTATGTGTCACTCGTTAAACTATATTCAGTAAGTGGAATTGTCGAAGGAAAGTATTTTTTACCTTTTTTTGGTCATGGCAGACGAGAACTTTTTACTCAAATGTTTCTTTAAATTGAACTCTCCCGATGTCCCCATAATACACTTTGAGTGACTTCTATTAAACATGTGTGAAAGTCCATTGAATTGGTCCCCGTAAAGGAGGAATGGAAGTGTGTGAAATGACCATCAAAATGTCCCCATAACACACTTTGAGTGACTGCTGATGAGTTGAACCGTGTGTGAAAGTCCATTGAATTGGTCCCCATGAAGGAATGGGGCGGGGGTGTGAAAAGGTCCTCATGAGGCATGTCCCCGACCATAGATGTGTGTATGTGCAAATAAGTTTGTTTTACATCTGTCAATCTATGATTTGTGCACTGCTGGTAGTACTTTGGCCTTCTTGGGTGGTTATATTAAATTAAATTTGTGATCTCTGTTTGAGATGGTGATTATTATAGTGTGTTATTGTAAATCCTCATACCTTCTGTTTCCCACAGATGACCCACGTGACAGCAGATTGCACTACTCCAGGTTCTGTTGATCATTCTGACCAGCCTCAGTGCCACATGAATACGTCATTTGCAAACGATGCCCCTCAGAAACAGGTAGGATAATTTTTATCAATCATGACAAAATACCATGAGGTTCTTTGTCAGTTCTGAAAAGGTTTTATAACATTTGAAGTCAATTATCTTAGATTTGTTTTGTGTCACTCATTAAACTATATTCAGTAAGTGGAATAGTGGAAGGAGAATACTTTAAGCCTTTTTTGGTCTTTGCAGACAAGGACTTTTTACTTAAATGTTTCTTTCAAATTAACCCTCACGATGTCCCCATAAAACACTTTGAGTGACTTCTATTAAACATGTGTGAAAGACCATTGAATTGGTCCCCGTAAAGGAGGAATGGAAGTGTGTGAAATGGTCATCAAAATGTCCCCATAACACACTTTGAGTGACTGCTGATGAGTTGAACCGTGTGTGAAAGTGGGCTGAGGAGCACAGGGACTGGTCTCCTTCTGGGACTGAGGAGCACAGGGACTGGTCTCTGCTGGGACTTGAGGAGCACAGGGTAGCTGGCCTCTGCTGGGGACTGAGGAGCACAGGGACTGGCCTCTGCTGGGACTCTGAGGAGCACAGGGACTGGCTCTGCTGGGGACTCTGAGGCGGAACAGGACTGGCCTCCTGCTGGGCCTCTGAGGAGCACAGGGCACTGGTATCTGCTGGTCCCAGAGTCAGGACTCTATACATGGGAGGCGTGTTTCACGAATTTTATGCTGCCTAAAAACAGTCTTCAGAGAAAAACTTGAGACGGGGCAATATTCAAATCAGGTTAAAAACAGATTAATCCTGACTTTATGAATTTAAGCTTGTCTTGTGAGTTGCCGTGTGTGGACTGTGCTATACAATAACCTTGCCTAATGCTAAGGGTTATGAACATATGGGACATCAGTGACTTTTCCGCGGTGGGCATCGCATACCAGCATTTTTTGTTACAATTTGAGTAAACTTCTGAACCATCAAACGACAGAATAAAAAACTAACCATATGTACATGTAGAGATAGGCATACAGGTGTAAAAATAAAAAAAAAAAAAAAAAGAATACAGCAATACCTACAGGTGAAAGAACCTATGAACTTGAACGATGAACAGAACCATGAACAGACATGAGCACGCTTCAGAGTCCGAGGAGTCATTCTGTGTCCGTCTAAAAACAACAAGTTCACATTCTGGTAACCAAAGAGTTCCATCCACATGGACGGCGTCTGCGTGCTTCCGGTGGTGTCTGGCCGTGATGCCCTTCCTCCTGATTGCTGCGTGACGTCTGAGAAAGGTACTTGTAGAAGACGAAAGCAGTTTTGTTGCTGGGGGTACACGAATGACTCCTTTGGTGCTCGGAAATCACAGTTGCATCTTTTGGTTTTCAGTTTGGTTCTGTTCATGGTCAGGGAGAGGATACTGGGAACTTTGTTTTTTTGAGGGACGGATGGTCCTCTGCTTGATCGTGTTCAAGGTTTGATCATGTTCTGTTCATGGCTATGTTCATGGTCTGTTCACCTGTATGTATTCTGTTATTCTTTTCTTTTTTACACCTGTATCCGTATCTACAATGTACATATGTTATTTTTATTCTGTCGTTTGATGGTTCAGAAGTTTACTCAAATTGTAACACAAAAATGCTGGATGCGAGGCCACGCGGGAAAAGTCCTGATGTCATATGTTCATAACCCTTTAGCATTAGGCAGGTTATTGGTAAAGCACAGTCCACACACGGCAACTCACAAGACAAGGCTTTAAATCAGAAAGGCAGGATTAAATCTGTTTTGTAACCTGGATTTGAATATTGCCCGTCTCACGTTTTCTGGAAGACTGTTTTTAAGCTGCATAAAATCTGAAACACTGCCTCCCCATGTTTAGTCCTGACTCTGGGCCAGCAGGAGCCAGTCCCTGTGCTCCTCAGAGTCCCAGCAGGAGGCAGTCCTGTGCTCCATCAGAGTCCCGCAGGAGGGCCAGTCCCTGTGCTCTCAGAGTCCCAGCAGGAGGCCAGTCCCTGTGCTCCTCCGAGTCCCGCAGGAGGCCAGTCCCTGTGCTCCTCAGAGTCCAGCAGGAGGCCAGTCCCTTGCTCCTCCAGTCTTAGCAGGAGCCCAGTCCCTGTTGCTCCTCAAGTCCCAGCAGGAGGCCAGTCCTGTGCTCCTCAGAGTCCCAGCAGGAGGCCAGTCCCTGTTGCTCCTCAGTCCCAAGCAGGAAGGCCAGGTCCCTGTGCTCTCAGAGTCCCAGCAGAGGCCAGTCCCTGTGCTCCCAGAGTCTTAGCAGGAGGCAGTCCCTGTGCTCTCAGCGAGTCCCAGCAGGAGACCAGTCCCTGTGCTCCTCAGAGTCCCAGCAGGAGGACCAGTCCCTGTGCTCCTCAGAGTCCCAGCAGGAGGGCCAGTTCCTGTGGCTCATCCAGGAGCTAATCCCGAGAGGAGGCCAGTCCTGTGCTCCTCAGTCTTTAGCGGAGCCAGTCCCTGTGCTCCCAGAGTCCCAGCCAGGAGGCCAGTCCCTGTGCTCCTAAGAGTCTTAGCAGGAGGCCAAGTCCCCTGTGCTCCTCCAGAGTCTTAGCAGGAGGCCAGTCTGTGCTCCTCAGTCCCAGCAGGAGGCCAGTCATGTGCTACTCAGTCTTAGCAGGAGGCCAGTCCTGTTTGCTCCTCATAGTCCCAGCAGGAGGCAGTCCCTGGCTCCTAGAGTCCGCAGGAAGGCCGTCCCTGTGCCCCTCAGAGTCACGCAGGAGCCAGTCCTGTGCTCCTCAGAGTTTCCACGTGGTATTCTTTAGGCATTAACATTGGTGCGAGACTTAAGCTGTGGTCCCTCTATTTTCAAAGTCTCATGTAAAAATCTAATACTATTTTCTGTCTGAGCCCAAGGGTTCAAATTGTGACTCCAGGGACTGTTGGATCACGTCAGCAAAATGTCCTGGGGAGATGACGTCGGATTTATCAACAATTTAAACACATTCTGCACACTTTTTCTATGCGACAAACAACATTTCAGTCTCGAAACAAAACTTTAGGTTCAGCAGCTTTAAGTTTCTAATAAATAATGTTTAACTGTTTTCATCACAACAATTCTATTCCTATGTTTTTAGCTCGTCCAAAGGACTTTACCCAAGTTGTCGATTCGTCGACACGGATCAGAAAATCTAACAGACACAGTGGTCTCTCTTGGTCTCTCTCTGGTCCCTCTCTCTGGTCTCTTTCTGTCTCTCTCTGTAATACCCCCCCCCCACCCCCCCCAACACATCACCCCCCCCCCCACACCCCCCCCCCCCCCCCCCCCCCCCCCACCCAAACCCCCCCCCCCCCCCCCCCCCCCCAACCCCCCCCCCCCCCACTACCCCCCCCCCAGTCTCTCTCTGGTCACTCTTCTGGTCTTCTCTCTCTGGTCTCTCTCTCTGGTTTCTCTTGGTATTCCTCTATGGTCTCTCTTCTGTCTCTCTCATGGTCTCTCTCTGGTCTCTCTCCTGGTCTCTCTCTCTGGTCTCTCTCTTGGTCGTCTCTTGGTGTCTCTTGCGTCTCTCTCTCTGGTCTCTCCTGTCTCTCTCTGCGTCTCTTCTGGTCTCTCTGGACTCTCTCTCTGTGTCTCTCTGGTGTCTCTCTGGTCTCTCTCTCTGGTCTCTCTTGGTCTCTCTCTGGTCTCTCTGGCTCTCTCTCTGGTCTCTCTCTGGTCTCTCTCTGTCTCTCTCTGGTCTCTCTCTGGCCTCTCTCTGGCCTTCTCTGTCTCTCTCGTTCTTCTCTCTGGTCTCTCTCTCTGGTCTCACTCTCTGGTCTCTCTCTGGTCTCTCTCTGTCTTCTATGGCTCTCTCTCTGGCCTCTCTCTGCCTCTCTCTGGCTCTCTCTGGTCTCTCTCTGCGTCTCTCTCTGGTCTCTTCTCATGGTCTCTCTCTTGGTCTCTCTCTGGTCTCTCTGTCTCTCCTCTGGTCTAACCAGTGGAAAATAGTAATTTCTCTACCTAAACAAATTCCTTAAAAAAAAAACAAACATAAAAAAACTCAAAATCAGATATAGTTTCAATTGAGGTTCGTACGAATTCTTTTAACATTTCAGTTTTTATTTTGTATAAATTGTATGAAATAAACTTTTAGCACAGGTACAATAAAGCACTGAGCCGTGTTCATACTTTTACTTTCATCTTTCATAGGCTCATAATCTCACCTTTTTCCCGCGTGGACGGTTCAAACCTCCTGCATTGCTGTATTTTTTATATGCGGTTTTTTTGTCGACTGAATGGAAGGATCTCACCGTTTCCATGGTTACCACTTTGAATATACGTTTCATTTTAAACAAAGTCTCCTCCTCCCTCTCTACGATGCATGAGTAAGGGAAAAAGTATGGGAGTTTTTGATATATATTTTTACTCCATTTTTTTTGGCTGATAAACAGGAAAGCCTTGTTCTCATGTTGGGTTTGTGCGCAGGATCCTTGGGTTGTGATCTTCTTCTAGGATTGTGTTTCTTCTAAAAGATCATTATTGACGTTTATCTGTCGGCTGGCTGTTACGATGTGTCCACAAAGTCCGTATTCTCACATGGCATAAAGTCATTTTTTAAATATATTGGGTTGTAATTTGTGGTTTGGTGATTGACAAGGTGGCGGGGTATAGCTATGATGTCACAGATCGGAGAGATTCCGACCCGGAGCGTTCTGTGAGGGCCAAGCAGAAATAGAGTGAAAGTGATGTGAAAATTGTCTAAAAAATGCTGAAATTAGGCAAAACATGAGTCTTAATTTGGGATTAGATCGATTTAAGAGTTTTAAGACTTTTTCAAGTGTATCTGTCTGCGCGCATGCAGTACGGAGGCGTGTCGAGTAGTGGGCGTGTGGGTAGTGACGTCAACTACTTCCGCGTGTATGAGCATGGATCTATAAACGGGTATGAGTTAGAGTGAGTACTATCTATGCCAATGAATGGTAGGTGACGTCAAATAGTCCTGTGCTGACCATCAAGCCCACAAAAGTGCAAATAATGCCAGAGCTCTGGTGTATGTTATTGAGCAAGTGCAGTGGGTATCACTTCACCACATGTGTTGGACATAGTGAGAGACTGCTTGGTGGTGGCCATAGCACAGATTACTAGCCTG